TCTGTGATACTGATGCAGGGAGAGACAGACAAAATCTGGGGCTTTGTCCTGAATTATCTCCAGGGGGGTCTAATTCAGCCTAATTCTGATTCTCATCTCAGAGATGACCTTGATGGTGGGAAAAGCACCACTAAAAAGTCCGGAACTGGGTCCTGGTCTCATCACCATGTCACCACTGGTGACCAGTGTAGGTGAAATGCTCGCTCTCAGAGTTGTGAAGATCAGACAGGACTGCGGATGCACAGGTTGTTCGGAAGCCCATGAGCTCTGTCCTATGCAGGAGGCTGTTAATCTAACTAGGAGCTCCTGAGAGCAGCTCCAGAAAACAGGTTCAATCTGTCCTTCTCTCCCAGGGAAGCTTTAAGAAATGACTGTGGCTTTAGGGATACACTTTTAAGAGGCCACTGAGCTCTCAGAAGCCTCCTTAGGTTTCTTTAAAAGAACTAAGCCGAGTGCTGTGAGTGAACCGAGCATTCCAGCCCTTCAGTGTTATAAAACTGGAGGACGGGGTCCAGGGCCCAGTGGGACCAAGGCTCAAGGGAGAGGACCCACGGTCTCTTCCCTGTTCTCTGTCACCCATGTGAGTCCCTGACAACCAACCACTTCTCCCCTGTCCACCTGCCCTGGGGGATCTAGGCAACAACACCAGCCTGAGCTGTTGAAGTTGCTCCTGTTTACACAAGCTACTCCAGACCACAGTTCCTGACCCCAGTGCCCACAGTAAGTACTAAGTAAATCTTTGCTCATGGTGATGGATGGGAAATAGAAGGGACACCAGTCTTATACCCCAAAGATATGGGTTTGAGCCCCGATCTCATCTCTTTTCTACCTGTGTGAACCTGGGCAAGTTATCCAATCTCCCTAAGCAACAGTTCCTTATTTGTTAAAAAGGAGTAAGAGTGCCACCTTGTTGGAGGGACTTGGAAGACTGTAGACAATAGAACATCCTACTGATGTTAGAGATGATAATGATAGCCTGGCTTTGGGCTGCATCTGATGGGTAATTTCTAGGGCACTGGGTCCAGGAGACTGTACAGTTCAGAGGGGACAAGGGGACATGTGGAGTCATGGCTGGCCAGAGCACCTTCTACGTCTATCTACTCTTGCCTTCTGTAGCAAATAATACACTATACATTATATTTCCATTTTGCATTGCACAGGAGAGATTTACCTGTGGTGGTGGCTTGGGGCCTATACTCCTCCTCCCATAGAAAGGCTGCATTTGATCTTTTTCAGAAAGCTGGGGCTGTTCAATGATCAGGCCAGTGAAGAGCAGCTGGACACTGGGCAGGGGCCTCAGGAGCCTATCCCAGATGGCTCCGAGGAAATGGCAGGGTCTCATCTGGATCTATCAATGACAGCTTTTGCAGTGTGTGTAAGAAGTTCTCACAGGCCTTTTGGGAAGGGGTTCGAGGAGGTGGGCCTCTGTGGGAAGCAAGGGGTCCTGGGCTCTCTGGGTCAATCTCACTTTGACAGCCGGCTGCAGAAGGCCAACTCTCTGTGAAATACAGTACTTCAGTCCCTTGGAACCCATGTGGGAGTGGAGGGTGAGGGGCCAGGCAGGGCAGAAGGTGGCTGGAGAAGGTTAATTGGTTGAGTGTGGGCACTTCTCAGAATGGCTTTTTATGTTGTCCAGTATAGGCTAGCACTTTTCCAAGTGACTCTGTTTGTGCTTTTTATGTAAGTAGATCTTTTAATAGGCCATAGGCTCAGCCCAGGCTGCAGCACCTCACTGCTGGGTCAGGAGCCCAGAGATCTGGTTGCAGCTGACTAATAAAACTCCTTAACAAACAGGACATTTCTAGGCATCTTTGTTTCCTAGGAACAATCGTCATGGGATAGGCAAACTAAAGTAAAATTGTAGCAGAGCAGGGGTGGAGATCCATCTGCCTGGAACCCCTTCACCCAGTTTAAGAGGAAAAAAACAAAGAGTATTCTACTATTTTCCCTGGAGCCACACAGTGGCAGTGTGGAGCTGAAAGTGGGTCTGAAGCAGTAGTGACCCGAGGGGCAGGCTGGGAAAGTCACCAGCCTCCCAGCTCTAAGGCCAACTAACTTTCCCTCAAGTTCTAGAGCCTCGGTCTCTCATTTGACCCAGTTCTCCTGAGATACCTTGGTACATGCTTCTTTCTCGCTAAGTTTACAGAGGATGTATTGGCAAGGAAGGGCAATGAACAAGAGGATTTTGCTGCAGGTAAAAGACTAAATGTAGAAATTCCTGCCCAAAAGGTTGAATGTTTGAGGGAGCTTGTGGCACCTCAAAAACAAAAACAAAAACCCCAGATAAGATGGAGTTATTGTAATGTGTCTGGTTTAGAGGCTAGGGGCTTGGGTTAGAAGGACTCTTGCAAGCCCCTCTGGCCCCAGAAATCTGTCCTGATCCCAGAAGCAAAACACCCCAGCTGGGGTATTTAGGGCGTTATGATGCTGGTCATAAAATGCCTCTTCATCCACAGGGGTCTTGTTGGCCAATAGGACAGTGTTCCTTGTAGAATTCTGCTGAACTTTCATGGTGAGCATTTGGGCTCTTGCTCCTCTAGAATAAGAATTCATTGAAGACAAGTCAAATTCATTGGGGTCCACTGTATAATCCCAGTTCATCATTATCATGAAATCAACCAGCAACTGGTTGCCAGTAGAAAATCAGTTTCTCCGTTCCTTGTTATAAGGTAGTTCTGGTAGTTCATCCAGTTCCCACCCACAGAGGGACCCAGCGTGGGGCAGCACCGTTGTTCCCTGGAGGTCTCGATGACATACAACATGGGAGAAAGTGACTTCCCCCTACTAGAAGGTATGCTCCTCGAAGGGCGATTGCTCATACAGGTGACCTTTCAGACAGATTTAAGCAGCTAACCTTCTAAACTCACAGTAGTATCACAAGCAAAAGGCTGTTTTATTTCTAGAAATATGGCTAGCAGTGACTTTACGGAGCAGTTCAAATTGTTAGCTGGCTCCAGTCACCAGCTTATGGACCCACACTCCTTAGGACATGAAACGAGCCCTTCGCTTTATTCAACATCAGTCAAACCTCTGACAGTCACTTGGAGTCCCCCTTTCTACTCAATTCTTAAACAAGGCTCTCCAAGAACACTTTCCCTTTATAAGCAATGGGGGTGGGTGCTATTGTTAACCTCCATGGCATACTTATTTGCTATAAAATGTCATACCTTTGAAGCCAATCACGGCAGAGTTCATTAGACCTTAATCAGATGGTTGGTGATGCTCAGGTCTCTGTCCTCTGCAACAGCAACTGCTGGAAGCAGGGCATCTCCACTGTGTCTGAGCCTGGCACAGACCCTTCTCCACGCTGTTCAGGGAGCCTGTGTCCAATCAGGCCCGCTCACTTTTCTTCTACCTCTTCTCCCACCAACAGATGTCTACCCTTCTCCCTAAACTAAGGTCAGAAGACATATCTTTCTGGGGCATTTTCTGGGATTAAGTGCACCTAATACTAACACTCTTGTACCCAGTTGGCCTAACGGTGACAGGCTCTGGTTTCACTGTTCTGTGTTAATTCCCCTCTGTCACGTGTTATTTTGCACATGTTCTTGCCTGTGTCCATAACTACGTCTGGCATGCTTTGACCCTGCCCACCCAGCCACTCCAGCCTTCTGTTTACGCGTGCCCCTTCCCACTCCCAGGGCCTACCCAGAATTCTGCAGGATGGGGCGCTCTACTGCCCGGCTGCCCCTGACCCCTCTCCCAGTGGGGAGCTGTCTTGGTAGTGTCCCTGCGCAGTCTCTCGGGTGTGCTGTGACATGTCGGAACCTCTACAGTCCTCTGCTTATTTTTTTTCTTTTTAAAAGAGATCAAAAAGAAGTACAGTTTCACTGCTGGATGCAAAGACAGTGTTGTTGTCTGTGTTTAGTCCTCATTCTACCTCTCTGGTCAACAGAATCTCTTTTTCCCCATTCAAAAAGTTTTTGAGGAGATGTCTTGGCCCATAAGATAAATACCATAACAAAATACCACAGACTGGGTGGCTTACAAACAACAGAAGTTTGTTTCTCACAGTTTCGGAGGCAGAAGTCCAAAATCAGGGTTTCGGCATGGTTAGTGAGGGCCTTCTCCTAGGCCCCAGACTTCTCCAGGCATCCTTGCTGGATGAGAGGGGCTGCAGAGCTCTGTGGGTCTCTGTCGTAGGCACTAATCTCATTCATAAGGGCACCACCCTCATGACCTAATCACCTCGCAAAGGCCCCACCTCCTATCCCACATTGGGGATTAGGATTTCAACATATGAATTGCGAGAGCGGGAGGCACACAAAAATTCAAATCTAGCAGGAGAACAATGGCAGGCTAAAGGTAGAGGGATGTGTAGATTAGCAATAATTTCCAGCCCCAGAACCATTTTTCAGATCTTGGGGAAGGGGAAACTGGGGAGATGAAATACTCCCACTGTTCCCAGTTCTCTAGAAAGTCATTTATAGCTAGCAGATGGAGCAAGTTCACAAATTGTTGCTAAGATCTGAATGCCACAGGACAGGGCACTGGACAGGTTGAATTTGGCAGAGTGAACCTACGCTTTCCACATGTTTAGGTGCTTAGCTATAGTGACATTTTTTTTCATTTTCTGTCTTAATTAACTGTTGAAGAAAGTATATTGTATGTTTCTCTAGTCACTGCTTACTGCATGTATTCAATTTTGAAACATTTTAAGTTAATTCCCTGAAGTTTTCTAGAATTAAGATATCTGCAAACAATGACAAATTCCATCCTCCTTTCCAATAATTATAGCCCTTATTTTTGTTAAATGTTTTATTGAACTGCTTAGAACTCCTAGAGCACTATCAGATGGTGAAGGACATGGGTATGTGGACACTCTTAGTTTGCTCATCATCTGAAAGGACCATGACTAGGACCTTACAGTTAAATAGCATGCATCTGCTGATTTGAGATAAACTATTCCTAATCAAGTTAACAAAGTGTCCTTTTTACCCCCAATTGGTTAAAAAAAGAAACAACAAACCAGGAATATATATTGAATTTTATTGGATGAAACTTTGAAAAATTTTTCTTGTGATAACAGATTGCAATGCTGGTTGGCGTTTACCAGGATCTACAGTCAGCTTTTGTCCATGAGAAGCAGCAAATCCAAAGGCTGAGTGACAATGGGCTTTCTAAGCTAGTGGGACGGTTTAAAGTTCTGAGGGCAAAGCAGGTTCCTCAGCAGACACATGCCGGGTTGGGCAAGAGGAAAAGAGAAACTGATTATTGCTATTTTATTTAAAACTTTTAAGGAAGTTGTTTATTGCCAATAATCGAAGAGCTCAAAGAGTAATTTGATTGTAAGATTGCCAAACAGGACTCTACTATAACTGATTAAAATATTTTTAAAAAATTTTCAATGGAGATGTCCACTTTATCTCCTCATATGTTCTGATGTTTTCATACTTACCCTTGAGTTCTTTCTAACATTTTAGCTGAATCTTTCTCGTGGAGATACAAGCCTATTTTTTTCCTATGCCTTGTTAAAAAACAAAAAGTAAACCTTCTACAGTTGTGTACAAAAATTTGTAGAAAACTTTGCTCCATTAAAAAAACAACAACAACAAAACAAAATTCTAGTTCTGGCCAGTGGCTCAGGTGTTTAGAGCATCATCACACACAGCAAAAGGCCATGGGCTAGATCCCCAACTAGGGCGCTAGTGGGAGGCAACCCATCAACATTTCTCTCTCACATCAGTGTCAATGTGTGTGCGTGTGTGTCTCTCTCTCCACCCATTTCCTTTCTCTCTAAAATCAATAAACATACCCTCAGGTAAGAATTTTTTTTTAAGCCTAGAATTTACAAGGCTGCTATGGAGTATTCCACTGGCTTGGAGACAGCAGGGTTCACAGGATTCAAGAAATTGTGCTTGTGTCTTCTTGGGTTGACATTGACATAATCCGTTGCTTCCTTTATGTTCTCATAGTCCAGGGCAGATTTGTTTTTTCGCCCTCCAGTGGCTGAAAAGACCACTTGTGTGTAATTCACATTCTTGGTGGTCTTATGGAAAAAGAGCAGAGAAGTGTAGGTCAAGATTCCTACCCTGTTTGGAGGAGGTAGGAGCCCAGGACTGAAGTCTCATCCAAAGAGGCTTGCCTTAAGCTGGATGAGAAAGAACCTGGGCCCCAGGCTGCCATGTCTGAGAGCAGGGCCAGGGCAGGGGGAAGATGGCCAGTGACTTTGTTCCTCCTGTCCTCAGGAGATGAATGGGTTTAAGGAAACAAGATGTAGAGAATCAATTCAATGAGGTCAGGACTCAGAGTAGTGGCCCAGTGACCAGGATTTGAGGGGAAGGAGGCTTCCCATTAGCACTTCCATTTTTATGGCCCACTCAAAGCCACTTTGGATGATCCATGTAGATATGGGGCTGTGAGGAAAGCCTAACCACCCTCACCTGAGGATGCTGCAGGGACACAAGAAGCCCCTTTTCCCTTGCTCTCATCCAGGTAGCCAGGATGGCCAGAGTTCTCAGACCCCAGGCTGCATATGAAGGACTGGGATCTCTAGGAGTGTCCATTACCTGGCAGGTGGGAGGCAAGATGCTGGCGCTGTCCGAGGCCTCGGAGCTATCTGAGGATGTGTCACTGTCATCTAGGGAGAAATAGAAACTGTTCTTCTAAAGAAAACTGAAGGGTGTTAGGAAAGAACAGAGACCATGGAAGGGAGGATGAGATAAAGAGAGAGGCAAAGCCAGCAATGCAAAGAGGACCTGGGAAGAGAGATACAGAACTCCCAAATGGGGAAGAAAGAGAGGAATAGAGCGGGTGGTGGGAGATCCACCAAAAACAGGCAGGGTCATGGCCAAGGGTGGGCACTGCTGCTCTGTCCGGCTCCATCTAAAACTAACTAGGCTTGCCTACACTTGGGTGGAAGAAACAGGGACATGCTGAGACAATGTGGCCCAAAGCAAACTGCCCTCAGAAGTCATGGGCACAGGTTTTAGTCTAACTTGTCACTAACTCTAGGCAGGTTACATCCTTTTTTGTTTCCTAGTTTTGTCTCCTGGACAACAAGAAGATCGAATGATGATCTCCGAGCCCCCTGACAACAAAAGAGTCTTTGACTCTGCCCGGGCTCTGGTGCAGCTTTGGGGTCAGGAGTCATGATGAGACCAGTGCCTCTCCCATTCCACTGAAACACTGAACACTTCTGAGTATCATCTCCTGGTCTCCATATGCCCTGAGGCCTCATCTCAGTGTTGAGGAAGCCTGACAATCAGATCTCTCCAACTCAACAGATCAAATTAGAAGGATGGAACAAGCCCAAACCAATCAAGAGATAAACCAATGGAAAAAATATATATAATCTCCGGTGAGCAGACCTCCAGGGGTAATTGTCTCACTGCAGAAAAAATAATTTCCACCATGTGAATAGTGACCTGGCAGGTCTCCCAAGCCCTGAGATAGAAAACAAGAGGGTGGTGAGCTTGTTGGTCCGATTGCCACAGGCAGACATACATTTGAACTGTTGCCAACACTCATGTGTTTTAAAACACCCAGATACACACGAGGATCTAAGACTGTACAGAAGGGGCCTCTGGGAATATGGCTGAGTCAGCTTCTGGGACCAGCCAATGACACTGACCAGCTGCCATGATGCTAGGATATTACCAGCCACGGCTAGAGTTAGGCAGTCAGTCAAAATTTTGGCCAGGTGAAAGAAAAGATGCCTCAGTATTACAAAGACAGGAGTAGAAAGAGTCCCCAAGCCCCCTTTGCAGTTGCTCACACATGGCCAAACCTAGGAAAGAGCTTAGACCCACACGAGCCCAACAAGGTCTGCCCCACATGACAGGATGGACAGCTGTCTGGAAAAGGCTGGGGGGCGAGGCCTTTGCTGGCCCAGGGGAGAGGAAACTGAGGTGGGTTTGGGCTGCTGCAGGGAGGTTCTCAGGGGTCCAGACAGAGCAGAATACACTTTGTGACCATTTCACCCCAGCCCCACTACTCACTTCTGCAGTGGGGCTCAGACACTGGGGTGCTCCTCTCTGCCGAAGTCTCCTTCTTCTGGGCAGCAGGTGAGTGGTGCTGGGCAGGGCTGTGCCTGGGGTCCTGGAGCCTGGCTCTTTTTAGTAACTGTTCATTTTTTTTGGCTAGAGGAAACAGGGCAAGAGTCAAAAGGGAAAGCTCCCTGGGTCAGGCACACCCCATTTCTGAACGTAACTCTTGTTAGGGAAAAAAGTTCAGAAGGATCTTTTTAAATCTCAGCACTCCTTCACTGCCACACCTCTCACCTGGAGAAAAAGCCAGAGCTCCAACCTTGAAGACCCTCCATGGCCTCACTCCTCCTTCCTCTCTGGCCTTGCCTCCTTTTCCCACGCCTGCTCCTCTGTTCCCACCACCCCAGTCTCTTTGCTGCTTCTATAATGAGCCAAACCCTCACCTGCCTCAGGGCCTTTGCAGGTGCAGGTCACTTCCTCACTCCCCTCAAGTTTATACTCAAATGTCAGCATCTCAGGGAAGCTAACCACCACTCCATTCATATAGCCTTGCCTTGCTTGTTTTACTCCCTTGCACTCACTGTCATCTAACACACATGTTTTGCTTATTTTGTGTGTTGGCTGTATCCTCACAGAATGTAAGTTACTGAAGGGCAGGGAGTTTGTTTTGTTCCCTGCTGTACTGAATGAATGAGAAAAGCCTAAAAATCCTTTACTGGAAAAAACCTTCAGAACATTATCCTGTCCAATCTTCTGTCGTAGCCAAAAAAAATTTTACTTTCCTAATTGTTATGTCTTCCTGAGACACAACTTCTCCACTTTCCATTGCAAAGCGGGTCAAAAGTTTAAGATGATCTGTTAGTCTAACCATATTCCCTTCTGTTGCAATTCAAAGCCCTTTATTCATGCTCAGTCCATTCATGGTGCTGAAGAATGGTTAAATGAGGTCCAGGTTAAATGAGGCCACCCTCACAAGCATTATAGAAATTTGTCTCTAGGCAGAAGGTTCAGGTAGTGGAAGGACTCTGGGCTGTTATTCTCAACCAAAAATAGGTTGGGTCAATGTGGGGATTACATGGTGAGGGGCCATCTGGCCAGTGGATCTGCACGGTTTTCAAGTGATGTTCAGAGGCTCCAAAGGGAGCTGGTCCTGCTACAAGCTTGGGAATGGTCCCTGAGAGTAACTAGGAGGGGAGAGGATGCTGAACCAGTTACCCATGTGCCTGCTGAGCAGGTAGTTGATGGCTGCGAGGAGGCATGCCTGTAGGACCAAGGACACAACTGCGATCACTAAGCCATGCCAGAGCTTCATGTCTCTGTTGGGAAAGAAATGGGGTCAGAGTTAGAAGTTACAGAGATGCTGCTACAGCTGCAAACCCATCTCTGCCTCAAGCCAGAGGTGGCCATCTAGTGTTGCTGTGATTCTCGGGGCAGATCCTTTGCCTCTCTGGACAGTAAGGCATGAGAAGCCATGAGAAGGTGGTGTGCATGCTTAGAAGCCAGCTATACCGGATAGCCTGATTGGAACTTCACTCACTCCGTCAGCATGATGAGCTTCTTGCAGGGCAGCCAAGGGTTGTAAATGAGGCTCAGCTCTTCCTGAGGCAGCAGGGAGAGACTTGAGAGGGACTACCCTGGGCACCTTATTTCCAAGTAGTTGTAGCAGCAGGACCACCCAGACCTGCAGGAGGCAATGCAGCTGGTCAGAACTCCTAGCCTCACACCCAATATTCCTGGGGCAAGTTCAGCTGCTTGGGGGTCATTTGCTTCCCTGTCCCCCATTGTCAGCTTTTGAATGTACAAAATAAGCAGTAGCATCCATTGCTGAGCCCCTGGCATGCCCACCACCCTATCCCATTCACACATTCCTGTGACCTGGGTATCATTCCCCTCCTTATTTAATGAACATGGTGAGGCTTAAAGATCTGAGGGACATGTCTGATGTCTCACAACTGGCAAGAAGCCGGACCTGGATTTGTGTTCCAAGTCCATGCCTACATGCCCAACCACCCTCTCTCCCCCTAAAGAGCCTTCACCTGCTGCTTGAAGTACAAACAGGTCCAACTAGAGTGAATACCTTGGGAGAGAGTCTTTGAACAAATCCAAACCTCAAATACACACATTTGCACACATACATCCTATATGGATTCACTGGGCTCTGGGAACAAGACTGTGGCTGCTGTTGCACCCCTACAAACACATTTAATTTAAAAATTACCTTATGAATTCCATCAACATGTGCTGAACATGGCTTTACTCTAAGACAAAGGGGATAATTCAAAACTTTTGAAATTATATTTATAGAGCACAGAGGTGGGGCATGTTACTGCCCACTGTCCTGATACAGACTGTGAATCTTTTATTAAGTATTTTTATTGATTATGTTATTACAGTTTTCCCAATTTTTCCCCTTTATCCCCCCTCTGCACTGCACTCCCCAGCCCTCCAGCATCCCCCCGCTTAGGTCGTGTCCATGGGTTGTATATATAAGTACTTTGAGTCCTCTGTTTCCTGTACCATTTTTTATCTCTCCCTGTCTATTTTATGCCTACTAATTATGCTTCTTCTTCCCCCATTCCTCCCCTCCCCCTCCCCACTGAAATTCCTCCATGTCATGTCCATTTCTCTGATTCTGTTCCTGTTCTAGATGTTTGCTTAGTTTTGGTTTTCATTGTTTTTCTTTTCTTTTAGGTTCATTTGTTGATAGTTGTGAGTTTGTTATCATTTTATTGTTCATATTTTTATTATCTTTTTCTTAGATAAGTCCCTTTAACATTTCATGTAATAATGGCTTGGTGATGATAAACTCCTTTAACTTGGCCTTATCTGGGAAGCACTTTGTCTGCCCTTCCATTCTAAATGATAGCTTTGCTGGGACTTGAGACTTAAGGTGGTGGCAAAATAGGTGAGAGCAGATCCCACTTCCCCCTGCACATGGGTAAAACACCTAGCTGATCTACTGAGGAACAGAGCAAACAGCCAACAGTACCCCAGCATATATGAAGACAGGAGACCAAAAATTGTAGAGGACATTGAAAAATAAAATGAGTAGGTTGAAGCAGTGAACACCAGGACACCTGCTGGAAGAGGAAACCCACCAACAAAGGAACCACCAACAAATAACAACAGAAGAAGGTAAAGGAGGGAGTAGAAGCCACACTAACTCAACCCAGGACCTATCTGGAAATGCAACTAAATAGTGGAGAAATTACCCAGAACAAATAACTGAACAAGAGTAAGAGAGAATCCTCAAAACTCTGTACACAGAGAAGAACCAGCTTCGACACAACCTGCCCACACCTGCACAACAAAATACAAGAGGTGGTAGACAAAGGGACCCTCAGTTGCTGGTGGGAAGGACCCACCAAAGAAAGACCCAACAACAATCAAAACCCAAAGGCATACACAGAGCCAACATAAATGACAGCCCAAGATCAGGGAGCTCGGGAGATCAAGGGGACAGCACCACTAAATCTCACAAGTATTATACCACAGAAGTTCACACCATAAACCCAGGAGATCAAAACAGATCAATTCAAGAAGCAGGAGCTAACAATAAGAGTCTCACAAACAATGGGAAGACAAAGAAACAATCCCCAAATGGAAGGAAAGGAGGAAGTCTCAGAAAGAATGCTAAATAAAATAGAGGCAAGTCAACTATCAGATATTGAGTTCAAAGCAATGGTTATAAGGAAGCTTAATGAGCTCACAGAGAGTTACCAAAAACTACAGGGAAACTACAATGAACTCACTGCAAACTATATCAAAATGAAAAAGGAAATAGAAACTATCAACAAGGGCTAAGAGGAAATAAAGAATACAATTTCTGAACTGAGAAACACAATAGAAGGAATCAAAAGCAAGCTCAATGAAGCAGAGGATCAGATCAGTGAGTTGGACAACAAGGTAGAAAAAAAACACCCAGAATGAGTGAGAAAAGGAAAAGGGGCTCAGAAAGAATGAAGAGGAGTTAAGGAAAATGCAGGACAACACAAAACATAATAGTAGCCATATAATAGGGATACCAGAAGAAGAAGAAGAACAGCAAGGGAGAGAAAACCTGTTTGAAAAAGGAATGATGGAGAATTTCCCTAATCTGATGATAGAAAAAGTAATACAAATCCATGAAACACAGAAAGTCCCAATCAAAAAGGACCCAAAGAGGCCTACTTCAAGACACAGCATAATTAAAATGACAAAATTCCAAGACAAAGAGAGAATCTTAAAGGCAGTGAAGGAAAAACAAGAAGTAACATACAAGGAATCCCTGATAAGACTAGCAGCAACTTCTCAATAGAAACGCTCCAAGATAGAAGAGAATGGCAAGAAATGTTTCAAGTAATGAAAACCAGAGGCCTGCAACCAAGACTACTTTATCCAGCAAGGTTCTCAATTAAAATGGAAGGCCAAATAAGGAGCTCCCTGGACAAAAGAAGCCTCAAAGAATATACCTTCTCCAAACCACCTCTACAGGAGATGTTAAAGGGTTTAAAGACAGGAAGAAAAACAGTGAAAGTGAGAGGAACACAGGTATGAAAAAATGGCAATGAATAAGTACCTATCAACAATAACCTTAAATGTAAATGGATTAAATGCTCTAATCAAAACACACAGAATAGGGGAATGGATAAGAATACATGACCCACACATATGCTGCCTACAAGAGACACACCTCAAAACAAAAGACCTACCAGGACTAAAGTGAAAGGCTGGAAACAAATATTCCAAGCAAATGGACAGGGGGAAAAAAAGCCAGGGTAGCAATACTCATATTGAAAAAAATAGACTAAAAAAAAAAGAGCCATAAAAAGAGACCCAGAAGAATACTTAAGGGAAGAATCCATCAAAAAACATAAACATAGTGAATATATATGCACCCAACATAGGAACACCCAAATATATAAAGAAAATCTTGGAAAACTTCAAGAAAGATATTGACAGCAACACAATTTTAGTAGATTTTAACACCCCACTGTCAAAAATGAACAGATCTTCCAAACAAAGTATCAACAAAGATATTGGTGGCATTGGTGGCCCTAGATGAAATAGATTTAACTGATACACATAGAGCCCTTCATCCCAAAGAAGCAAAATACACATTCTTTTCAAACGCACATGTAACATTTTCAAAGATAGACCACATGAGAGGACACAAAACAAGCCTCAACAAATTCAGGAAAATTGAAATCATATCAAGCATATTCTCTGACCACAAGGGACTGAAACAAGAAACCAACCTCAAGGAAAAAGACCCCGAAACTCAAACTCATGGTAATTGAATAGCATGCTATTAAACAATGAGTGGGTCAAGAATGACATTAGGGAAGAAATCCAAAAATTTCTGGAAACGAACAAAAATGAATTCACAACAATCCAAAACTTACGGGACACAGTGAAGTCAGTCCTGAGAGGGAAGTTCATAGCAATAATGCCTACCTAAAGAGGATAGAAACATTTCAAATAAACAACCTAACCCTATGCCTACTAGAACTCGAGGAACAACAACAAAGATAATGCGGAGCAAGTAGAAGGAAGGGAATAACAATATCAGACCAGAATTAAATGACATAGAGACTAAAAGCACAATTGTAAGGATCAATGAATCCAGGAGATGGTTCTTTAAAAAAATAAGCAAAACCAACGAGGCTTTAAGCAGGCTCATCAAGAAAAAAAGAGAGGACCCAAATAAACACAATCAGAAATGAAAGAGGAGAGATTACAACTGATACCACAGAAATACAAAGGATTGTAAGAAATTACTATGAAGAACTGAATGCCAAGAAATTTAAAAACCTAGATGAAATGAACAAATTTATAGATTAAAAATCTTCCAAAACTCTATAAAGAAGAAGCAGAAAGCCCAAACAGACCAATAACACCTGATGAAATTGAAACAGTAATTCAAAAGCTTCCAACACACAAAAGCCCTAGACCAGATGGTTTCACAGGAGAATTTTACAAAGCGTTTAAGGGAGAGCTAACCCTCATCCTCCACAGATTATTTTTTAAAATTCAAGAAGATGGAAGACTCCCAAAGTCTCTTTATGAAGCCAACATCATCCTAATCCCAGAACCAGATAAAGACATAACAAAGAAAGAAAATTTCAGGCCAATATTGCTGGCGAACATATATGCTAAAATCCTCAACAAAATATTGGCAAACCACATTCAGCAATATGTTTAAAAGATCATACACTATGATGAAGGGGGAATTCATCCCATGATGCAAGGATGGTACCATATTCTCAAATCAACAAACATAATATACCACTTAAACAAAATGAAAGACAAAAATCACATGATCATATCAATAGATGCTGAAAAAGTATTTGATAAGGTACAGCACCCATTTAAGATAAAAACACTCAGTAAAGTGTGAGTAGAGGGAGCATTCCTCAACATAATAAAGGCCATATATAAGAGACCTATAGCCAATATCACACTCAATGGAGAAAAACTTAGAGCTTTCCCACTAAGATCAGGAACAAGACAAGCATGCCCACTTTCACCACTCCTAATCAACATATACTGGAAGTCCTAGCCACAGAGATCAGACCAGAAGAAGAAATAAGAGGCATCCAAATTGGAAAGGAGGAAACAAAACTGTCAATGTTTGCAGATGACATGATAGTGTACCTAGAAAATCATATAGACTCCACAAAAAAACTACTCAACCTAATA